ACAGGGCAGGCAGCACTGTAAGAGTCATGTTCTTTTACTTTTCCAGCACTTTTAAAATCTGCTCTACTCTGTAGTAAGCTCCTGGACATGCAAGTGAATGACTCGCTGGTCACCTGGATCAGAGACTACCTCACAGGTAGACCCCAGTATGTGAGGCTGCAGAACACCACCTCGGACACCATACTGAGCAGCACAGGAGCTCCTCAGGGGACGGTCCTTTCACCATTTCTGTTCACCCTCTACACCTCGGACTCTTTAGTCTCTTTAGAATGATTTGTTCAATTAGCTCTGTATAGATCTAGTAGAGTGCTGTATGAATTAGGACACAGATTGTAGTGTAAAGCGCTTTGAGTATCTTGAAATAAGATAGAAAGGCGCTATACAGTCCATTTACCATTCAGGTACAACTCACAATCCTGCCATCTGCAGAAGTTCTCGGATGACTCCGCCATTGTGGGCTGCATCAATGGTGACCAGGAAGCTGAATACAGAGGTGTGGACAGAACTACCTGCAACTCAACATTGGAAAAACTCAAGAACTGCAGGTGGACTACAGGAAGAAGACCAGCCCCCCAACCCTATCAACATCAAGGGTACTAAGGTGGACATTGTTGACTGTACCCAGTATCTGGGGGTCCACCTAGACAATAAACTGGACTGGACAGCTAACACTAACACCCTCTAAAGAAAGGACAGAGTCACCTTTTTCTTCTGAGGAGACTCTGGTCCTTTAATGTCTGCAGGACCATGCTGGAGATGTTTTACCACTCGGTGGTCTCCAGCGTCGTCTTCTATGCTGTGGTGTGCTGGGGCAGCAGGGTGAAGAAAGCTGATGCCAACAGACTTGATAAACACATCAAAGAGCTGACTTAGTTATGGTACTGGAACTGCAGTCAGAAATGTCTGAGCAGAAGATGCTGAGGAAACTGCTCCAGATCCTGAATAACACATCACACCCCTGCATGACACCCTGGACTCTTACCGCAGCACCTTCAGTCGTAGACTGAGACCACCGAGGTGCACCACAGAACACCACAGGAAGTCCTTCCTCCCTGTGGTTATCAAGCTTTTCAACTCCTCCCCCTTTCTGCACATAGCACAATAAAATTAATCCTGTATTACAGTCTGCACCTGTTTAGAACTTAATTGTTGGCAATTTTATATTCTCTGTTATTTTTATATCTTGTGATTCTTGTGTATGTTCCTTTGTACTGAAACTCTGTCACAATAATTTCCTGCGGGATCAATAAAGTTCTGTTGTGTATTATTTGATCTTTTCTTAACCCCTCACACTGCTCTACCCAGGGAGAAGTTAGAGATTAGGTGTCTTGCTCAGAGACACCACGACATGTGGGAATGGTTGGGAGTCGGACCGCAACTTTCTGGTCCCAAGTCGGCTGCCCTGTCTCTACCCCATCTCGGCCCCTAAAACATCCATCCATTATCTTTACCCGCTTATTCCATTTTGGGTCACGGGGGTTGCTGGTGCCCATGTTCAGCAATCACTGTGCGAGGGGCGGGGTACACCCTGGACGGGTCGCAAGTCCATCACAGGGCCACATAGAGACAAACAAGACAAACAACCATTCACTTTCTCACTTACACCTAGGGACAATTTAGAGTTACCAATCAACCTAACATGCATGTTTTTGGTCTGTGGGAGGAAACCGGAGTACCCGGAGAAAACCCACACTTGCACGAAGAGAACATGCAAACTCCACCCAGAAAGGCCCCTGGACCGGGGTTTGAACCAGGGACCTGCTCGCTGAGAGGCAGCAGCTCTACCAGTTGTGCCACCGTGCTGCCCGCCCCTAAAACAATGAAACATTATTATTTGAACTTGGACTCTTCATCTCTGTCTGTGACTCAAAATAATCTAAAGAAATATCAGATTCTTTTCTACTGTCTGTGTTGTCAGCCATTGTAGCATCGCTCTGTTTACATGCAGACAGTCCCTTTTGATATCACTTTCAGTTATTGCACATGAGAATATCTCAATAACTCTATCTCAACTTTGCAAAAGATAATTTTTCCAAAAATGCATTAATCTTTGCAAAACTTTAATGCTCTTTAAAGGCTGTTGGAGACTTGTTGTTGATTAAGGATTGAGTGAAGGAAGGTTAATTTTTTGTTTCAGTCCCAATAATTTCTGACTGTTTGAGTGCAGAGCTTGCAAAACTGTATTCTAGGCTATCCTGATGCATGCTCAATAATCCAGGTAGAAAAATCCAAAAAAAAGTTCAATCTGGTCCTCTGGACATTCAAAAAAACAAAAAACAAAACAAAGGAAAAAAATCCCAAGGAACCACTTGCGATTCAACCTCAGATGTCGACAAAGTGGCATCATTCCCAAGAGCCTGGAACTAAAATCATCGGTCAGCGGGCACTGGGCAAGCAAGATCCTTGAGAGGGCACAAACCCAGCTGCTGAATGAACGGGTGAGACAGACCAATTTTACTATTGAGGCCTTGAAGGCCAAAGAAGAGCACATTAAACAGAAACTATGTGTCTAGATCAGACCACACTTCAGCAAGTGTTGGACTGTACAGATCAGGCATGCTTAGCACAGCATGTCAAGTCCAAGACTCAACCACAAAATAAGTTTAACTTACTAATAACTCATCAACACCATCACTATTCCAATAACAACACATTCAGTGTAGGACAACACTCCAGTAGTCAATTACATGCCAGGGAGACAGAAAAGTGGGTGAAGAATTTATCTGACAGACAGCTCACCCAGTCGGAGACAGAGATTCTTGCCAGGGGACTGAACTTTGTGGTTGCACCAAGGACAATTCCTCTGGTGGAGATGATCACAGCCACAGAATCAGCCATCCGCAACAACAAAATGAAAGAGGGTGAAGCAGAACAGCTCAGAATCAAAGTTTCAGCCTGCCTCAGCAATGCCAAACCACCACCTTCCAACATCAGTAGAGAGGAGAGGGATGCACTCACCACTCTTAGCAAGGACAAAAACATCATCATTCTCCCAGCAGACAAAGGAAGGTGCACAGTGATTTTGAACCAGAAAGACTATCATGAGAAAGTTATGACACTCCTTAGTGACTTAAACACTTACGAACCTCTGAAAAGAGATCCAGGAAGTGGTTACAAGAAGAAGTTAATAGATTGCCTGAAAAATTTGGAGCAGGACAAGGCTATTGACCGT